ACTGTGGCCACCGTGAAAACGTGGGATCGTTTTTAAAATTTCTTACGATTGCATAATAATATAATAATATTAATAATAGTAATAATAATAAATAATAAATAATAATAATAATAATAATAACGATAATTAATAATAACGATAATGATAATATTGATAATAAATAATACAAATAGTAATAGTGATAATAACGATAATAATAAAAAATAATAAAAATAATAATAATAATAATAAATAATATTAAAAATAACGATAATAAATAATAACAAACAAATAATAGCAATTAATAAATAGATGATTAAACATTGAGTAATCATACTTGCTCATATTTTCATGAACTAGTTGGAAAAAAAAAACCTATATACATTTATTATTATCTTTCATGTTTTACATTGTTCGTCAAATATTTTTCATCGTACTGTCTCTTAATATACTTTTTTATTTTGTACTTCTCATTCGCTTCGTGAAATGAAATTAGTTGCTAGAAAGAAAGTGAAGTACATGATTATTGTAAATGCTGTAATGTATAACTCCGAGAAACGTAGGTAGTATCGTACAAAGTCTTTAATGCGTAAATAGGCACTTTATTGATTGAATGTCTAATTTATTTTTACTCTGTTACTTTTTTCAATGCAGCTTACATGCAAATATAAATTAAAGGAAAAAAAAAAAAAAAAAAAAAAAATAGGAACTACATTCTGATGCAAATTGTTTTTATGTCACTGTAATATCAAAACCACAGTAGTTCATTCATGCGTGGCCTAATCCCTGTTAGCCCTGCAGATTTTCCTTTTTCTCATTGTGAACGCAGTTCTCTATTGTCATTTAGATATTTGACATTTAATTTTCATTGTGAGTTGGAGATATCATCGGGCAAATAAGAAAAAGCGGGATATATTGTCTTTGATCGTATATATATATAAAAAAGGAGGAAAAAGAAAAAAAAAAAAGAAAAAGAAAAAAGAAAAATAATGTAGATTGTAATACTGTTACGATTCATTAAGAAAAATGGAAATCACATAATATATCAATATTTTTTTACAGCATGACAAATTGCATTTCTACCACCATGTAGGACCAGTAGAGTTCATTACTAAAACATTGAAGTTATAATAAGAATAAAACAACGTATGGATAATATAACATGTCTGCTGCAGGGAAACATAGACTTGGAAGAAGCTGCCTCAAACAGTTGTTTTACCTCAGCTTAATTATGCTAGAAATGCACGATACGTAAAAAGAAAGAAAGAAAAAAAAAGTATACAAACGTGAGATGCACTGTGATAGTTAACAAACAAAACCTATCATTAAACAACTGTTATTGATAGTTATCCAACGTTATTCTTTTCTCTTACTCCAATCAAAATTGAGAAGTACTAATTGAATTTGCCTATAACCAAATCCAGTGTAATCCTATTTTCTATTAAGCATCAAATACAGAAACAAATATTTTCCTGATAGTAAAAAGAAAAAGAAAGAAAAAAAAGAAAAAAAAAACAAACAAACAAACAAAGTAGGAATTAAATTTTTTACGCGGTATATATATATATATATTTTTTTTTTTTTTAATTTATGATATAATATCTATATTTCATTTACATTTTGAACGGTGCTCTTATGATGAGAAGATCAAAATTGAAGCAGTAGGATAAACTTTGTATTTAAAAAAGAAATTCGGCAATAAATTTTCTAAATTTCATACTCTCCATAGGTACGGTATTTCTACAGTATGTTCACAATATCAAACATTTATTGTAATTTAATCGCCATTTCAAGACACCCTGTATAAACGTAGAAACCTATACTCTATCAAAATTTATCACTGTTTAATACTCGTTTGAAAAAAGTATTATAGAACTGTTAATAATATTGAATGTATTTATGATGAAGTTAATATTAACAATACTGACAAAATTTTTTTTCTATAATATTAGTACCAGAAAGAGCGTGCCGCATTAATTTATATATCGTGCTTATGATTCCAGGATAAAAGTGAATTTTTTTATATGTTTTAATTCTGATCCGGTGAGTAGTAGGAGGTAAGTATTTTAATTTTACTATTTATTCATATTGACATCTAAAAAGTTACTATATTATCTTAAATCGATAAATGTAAAATAATGAAATAATTTATAGTTGTTTTTTTTCCTTTTTTTTTTATTATGAAATTTATAATGCCACAATGTTATTAATTATTTGAGAGAAAAAAAATGAATATAAATATGAAAATTATCACAATTTTGTATTTTTACTAAAGAACATTTAATGTTAATGATATAAATTTTACAAAGAAAAAAAATTGTGTTAAATTAAATATAAAAAAAATATTGTATAAACTATTTAAATTCATAAATTCAATTTTCTTACGTACGTACCTGGTAATTATCAACGAATCAAAAGGATCCTTTAATTGACCAATCGCATTGAAACACAACTTCTTGGTATAAGAATTGAATATTCCAATAATAGTTCTTCTATGCAAAGCTTAATTTTATTCGTTGACGAATTCATTGTCATTGTTGTTGTCAAATTTTGGTGTTAAATTGGTATTGTTACATTCTATGTCAGTGACTTTTTCATTTAGTTTCGTTTTCACTATATCGGGCATAATTAATTTGATATTTTTGTTATACTCATAAAAATGAGTTTAATTTATATGAACAAAATGTTTAGATTATTTGATTACTCGAAGATAAAATATCGATTTTTATGATTATAAATCGAAATGAAAATTGATTTCTAATAAAAAGTACATTATTGTATATACATATATATATATATATGTATATATATATGTATATATATATATATATATATATATATATATATTGTATTAATGATATATAATAAATAAGAAGTTGATATTAAAAATGTAACCACTAATTTGTAGTGACATAGTCGTTAAAATCCAATAATAATGTATTATTAATATAATGCAGATTAATAAAATATTTCAGATTATTATATATTTTGTGACATACGAAGAGTTTTACAGTTAATTACAATGTTGTCGCGAAAAAATAAAGACTTAAGAACAATAAAAGAAGGAGTTGTGGGCAAATATATTAAGAAAGAGACACCGCCTGAGATGCCAAGTAAGATAAATTTTTGTTTTAGATTATTAAAAAAAAAAAAAATACCTTAAAAAATTAAATTGTATTATTAAAAGTACATAATATATTATTGTATAAATATAAAAAGTAATAATATAATATAATAATGTATAAATATAAGAATAAGTCTTATAGTTTATTATTATTTTGTTTCTTTTTAGTTATCAATGTATGGACGACAGAACCAAACAGAAGAGTAAGACGACGAAATCATCCTACAATACCATCATCGATGGTAAATTATACTGATTTATATTCATTTCAAATGTTAGATTTTTTTAAAATATGGTAAATATATGATCACGAATAGAAGTCAATATAGATAGATATATTTTTTATAGTCTATTCCACAACAACCAAGTATAGTACAAAAATTTGGAAATACAAAAACTACAATGAGCGCTGTTGGATTAGGTAGCCACGAAGGAAAATATACTCCAAATAGTTCAGTCCCAGACTTAGCGCAAAGGTAATGTTTAATATGTTAAAATTCAGATATGAAAAGTTATTATTTTTATTGCATAAACACTTGAGATTTAGAAATAATATTAATATATAACATTTTATTTTATTAGATTTGCAGGTCTCTCTGTTAATACTGGATTAAATGAAGGTATGTCTTCTCGTACTGCTACACCATTATATCATTCAGGATTATCACCTGCTGTATCACATACTTATGTCAATCAATATGCTGGGTCTGAATATCATCTGGACCGTGTTCAGACTCCACAAGTGCCTTATTTACCATTTGATGTAGATACAGGTTATGAAGAATATAATCAGTCAGTATATCGTCAAAATGCCGGGTATATTCAATAATAATGATTAAAATTAAAATATTAATTAAAATATTAATCTAGTAATTATTGTTATTTTATTAAAAAAAAAAATGTGAACATTTTTAAAGATATAGTAGATGTCAGTCAGAAAGATCAAGTTCTAGAAGCGAACAACAAGAAGAATTACCTTTACCGCCTGGTTGGTCGGTAGATTTTACACTTAGAGGTAGAAAGTATTATATAGATCATAATACAAAAACTACTCATTGGTCGCATCCTCTAGAAAAAGAAGGTTTGCCCACTGGCTGGGAAAGAATAGAATCACCAGAATATGGTGTCTATTATGTTAAGTGAGTGATTAGTGATCATTGCTGTGTTATCTATTACATAATTCATCCTATCTGTATAATTAATAATCTCATATTATTTGCAGTCACATAACAAGACAAGCGCAATATGAGCATCCATGTTATCCGCACGAAGTACAAGCTATAAGAGTAGTATCACCTCCTAGACATACACATTTTCATTCTCACAGTGTCTTAGTACCAGCGAATCCGTATCTTAATGAAGAAATTCCTCATTGGTTGTATGTGTATAGTAGAGCATCCATTGCATTAGATCGTAAATTACGATGGGAGCTCTTTCGTTTACCAGAACTTGATTGTTTCAATGCAATGCTGACAAGACTTTACAAACAAGAATTGGAAGAAGTGGTTATGAGATATGAAGAATACAGGTTTGCAATATGAAGATAATTTTACAATATAAATTAATTTATATAAATAAATAATATGAAAAAATTTCAATAGGTCAGCTTTGTTATGTGAAATGGAACAAAGATTGAAAGATTTAAATCCTGAAACAGGAAATTCTTCGTCAGGTGCAATAGCTTTACGACGATCTCTTCCTTAAGTTTCATATGATATGATTGCAGGCAACTTATCTATTGTTATTGACTGAGTTATTGGTTCCTTTGTTAAATTAATGTGTCAACAAATATCCTGATATTCTTTAAATTTGTAAATAACAAATAATACTTATTATTTTAATTATATTTTATTATTATATACATCTATCCTCTTATTATTATGCTTTATAATAAAATTTAGAAGTCAGAATCTTCATCATCAGGAGTATTATTATGACTGTTTATATTATGACGAATTTCATCAAGTTTGTTTTTATCATATACAGTATTTTCTACTATATTAAATCCTTTTATCCGAATAACTTTACTTGCTTCTGTATTGGAATCAAGTACTCTGGTTAAACCTATATATATATCATAACATAATGTTTAGAGTTTATCTGATCATTGAATAAATCTAATAAAGCAAAACAAAAATTAAATAGATTAAAAAGTACCTTTCGGTGTATCCGAAGTTTCATGTCGTCCATTAGATAACATGTATAAACCAATTGCAAATCCATTCCATGCTATTATTGCATAAGCCATAGCTAATCTTAATCGTATTTTTTCTTTCGTTGCTCGATCTAACTTTTTAATATAACGTGAAAAAATCATATTTACGTATCTAAAAATGAAATTAATGATTTAGAAAAATTACAATTATTTATATAAAAATGTATGATAAATAATTATATAATATCCTAAATATATTAATTTACAACTATAATTTATCAAATATTGATATAAATGAGTTAACTGAAACACGTATCAAAACTAATGCAATTACATAACCTATAAACATAATATATTTTACTTTGTATTACTTATATTTCTTTATAGTATTTAAACGATAAAATAACCTTATTTTATTGTCTTTAATAGAATGTATTTCATGAATTTTTCAAATTAATATTCAGATACTTTTGAATATTAATATGCTTAGAACTGACAAGACTTGACTGACTTTCATTGATTTTTACGTAACTATTTGAATGTATACGTAAAATCTTGAATATTTGATCCATTTCATTGACTTAACCTAACACTAACACAAAATTTGTTTTCATAGTAGATTTTTATTATTTTTATTTTATATAAAACATCAGATTATATAAAGTTACCATCACCTTTCATTTATTTATCGCATATAAGTATGTGCGATTTCAGGAACAAAACAAATTTTGAACCAGAAGCCAAATAGGGAAACACTGTCCCCCACTATGAGCCTATTGTTTCGTTATATAACCTTCTGTAGAGTATACTTACTCAATCAACTTAACTTTCAGTTAAGTCAATCAAATGGGTTAGTGCGTGACAAAAATATTATATGTACTAAATTTAATAGTACATCAGAAAAGTAAGAAAAAATTATATACCAGATTATACTTTTCTATAGATAAATTGTACAATTAAGAAATACTTTTCAATTAAACTTTATATTTTTGTTTCTAGGTAAACAATAACAAATAGCCTGAATATATTTAAATCGTTCGTAGTTCAATATTACTTGCTATCAAACATATAATTTATAAAATATAAAACGTAAAATATAAAAGATCAAGCTTATCGAATACTCTATTAATTTATACTATTATTATTATTATTATTATTAAAAAATAATAACAATACTTTAATATCTATTATTATATAAAAAGAAAATATTTTGGAAAGTATATTTGCATATAACTTAAGTATGAAATTTTATATTCCTTTTCGATAGTTTCAGTACTTTCTCAACTAACAGAAGGTGAGTGAGACCGCGCTTATGGAAAGCTCTACAATTTTCGACTAACTTTCAACAATCGTCAGCTTCATATAACATACATAACGGTCGTGCTTTTAGTATATCAACAATCAAAGCGCAGTTCTTGCGCCTGCGAACATCCACGCATGTGCTCATCGACAAATGCGCCAGTAATCATACGGAATAATGGATATCTCTCTTAATTTACTAGTACGGAAAGAATAAAAAATTTCCATGTGTAAATCCAATCGCACCATGATGAACCAAGCCCTATCACGTTACATTGGACCTTCGTCGATATAACGAATCTTCTCCAATTGATCGGTTCATCGATGATAGAACGCTCGTACGAGAAGAATTCGATTCTTTAATGAAAGCTCCGTCAATCGATAAACAGATCGATCCCTCAACAAGAAATCTGAATGAATTTGGAAAATGTAATATGTCACGTGCCGAACATCAAAACAGGAGCTCGAGTCATCCTTTTCGAAAGAAAATGCAAGGGCCTACAATCGAGGATCTCATCCAAGGATCCTACCTGAGAGATATTAAAGTAATTACTGTGAGTACTATCAATTCTGATTTTACTACATGAAGGTTATTATGATTGAAAACCCACGAGCTGAGTGAAACTCTAATTTAAAAACTCTATCCTTATTTTTAAGGTGACATGAGTTTAGAAAGAATTCAGGCCCCGACGTTAAATAGAGATATTAGCGTTTAAATATTAGTAAAATAATTTTATTTATTAATTATACCCTTCCAAGTACATGATTTATGTTTGTCCAAATTTTGATTTTATTTCATTTTATTTGATAGATTGAATTTATTTTATATCAATTGCATCTTATAATTTTTGTAATGTTGGTCAATTGTTTAAATGTTAACAAAGTAATCTTATTTATCAATGATTATTTGTTAATGATAATGGAATTAATTTTACAATGTATTTTATAACAAGGGAATTCTATTATTTTTCATTAATTTTACTTATTTTCAAATATATTCCACCAGCTGGTCGTAAGAACAAATGTGACGGAAGACGCGTAAATGGAATTTTTGTTTTTTCACAAATATCGAATTTACAATTCCGTAATAATGTTGCCAGTCCAAGTGTCGTTTGATGAAACGCAAATTTTTCTCCTGCACAATGATACAAATTATATTATTCATTTAATGTGAATATTTTGATTTTTACGATAATTTTCTTACCGTAGCAATTACGAGGTCCAGAACCAAAAGGTAGATATATTTCATTTTTAATTGCATTATTTTTGGTCATAAATCGTTCAGGATCAAAAACATCTGGATTCGGATAAATTTTTGGATCGTAATGTAATCCGAGTATCGGTATCAAAATTTTTTGATTCTTCTGTATAGTAATATTAGTGCCTTTCAATGTGTAAGAAGATGTCGTACATTCTCTATGTAAATATGTTATTGATGGATATTTCCTTAGTGCTTCTAAAATTTTATATTTGGCGTATTACCAATACTATTTAAAAAAAATAACTCGACTATATTTGCATAAATACACACTCACACACAGAGATTATTTTAATGATTAATGATAATTTATAATTCGATTTTTTTTTATAAATAATGAATTATTATTATTTGCCATACGTACCTTTAAATGACGCATGTAAATATTTCAGATCTTTTATAGATTCGATATTTAAGGTACCGTTATTTTGTTCAAATACTTCATTGATTTCTTTGCGAACTTCATCTTGTATGGTATGATTTTGAGCTAATTCGTAAAGGGTAAAGGTCATAGCTAAGGAAGTTGTTTCAAAACCAGCTACAAAAAACATGAACGCTTGAGCGGCACAAAATGTATCCGTTAATTCTGAAATACATATAAATAAATATTTAATTAAATAATATATCCTAATGTTTTTAATATTTTCGATAAAAATAGATAAATCTAGAAAAATTTTTAATCTTACCGATCTCTTCGCTAAAGTTTTTCGAGTTTTTTTTCAATTCCATTATTATATTTATGAAATCGTTTCTAACGATGTTATTTTTTATTCTGTATTCTATTGTATTTTTAACTATATTTACAAAGAAAGAAGTTAGACGAACATTTGTGAATAAAAAGTTGAGTTGATTGTACAATTTCGGAAAATATATTTGCAGATTTTGTTTCAGTAAACTTATTGTATTGACCTCAAATATTTCTTTAGCTATTTTCCAAAATTCATTTTCTCCATCGTTAAATATATTTGTTTCAATGCCGAATGCACAACTACTTATTATATCTATAGTGTATTTAGCATTTAATTCATTAATGTCAAGGATATAGTTATCAGGTATCTTATTAATATATTGCTCCAAATGATCTGTGCTTATCTTCATCAATGGAAACATTTCCTTTAATTTAATAGAAGTAAACACAGTTGTTAATTTATTCCTTAACTGTCTCCATTTTAATGTTTCGAGAAAAACGAGATTTTCTGACAGTGGATCTACCTTTAATAGTAAAATAAAATGTAATAATGGATAATGAATATTACAGATCGCTGTTTTATTTTCCTTTGAATTTTTTAATTCAATTTACCGTTATAATTATCGGCATAATTATACAATAAGAAAATATACCTTTTTCGTTATGAATATGCCTCGTTGAGAGAAACTGGAAAAGTCTTTAATTAAAATGTCCTTTATTAATTGCGGATCTCTTAGGATGAGTATTGGTTTACTTCTAAAGAAGATGCCGACACACGGTTCGTCTTTGTAAAAATGGTAAATATTACTTAAATATTCTGCCATATTTATCTTATAAAACAATATATCCTTGATATTGCCAAACAGAAGAATGGGTTGAGGTCCTTTTACACCACGGACCTTCCAGTAATCGAACGTCGAGGTCAGATAGTAATACAAAAAAAAAATTAAAGTAAGGCCGCAAAATATTTCAAATATTCCTGTCATATTGTTATCTTCAACGCGTGACGATCACTTCGATGTTATTACTCGATATCTTTATATCTGCAAAATAATATTAAGAGAATTTATTCTATTTAAAATATAAAATGTAATGTTGACAGAGTATAATAATTGTATTCAGTTGTATTATAAATAACGACAAAAGATGTATTATAAATTTCAAATGTATTATGTAAAATTGTAATATGTAAAATAAATTTCAGATCTATTATAAATAAGAGACAAAAATATATCAAGCTAATCAATTTAATATCAATTAGATATCAATTTCAATTCTTCTTATTGTATGCACATTTATCTAATGTATTATAGCTGCGTATACATTTACCATTCCATTTATTTTAAATCTAATTTGAAACTCAATCATGATTTTTTTTTTTTTTTATTTTATATGAAATAATTGACAATATTATTTTTATAATTCATAATTAACATCATAACTAACATCAAAAATATTACGAATTGATTTGTAATATTAAGCAATTTAACATACGAGTGTTAATGGTAATATTGAATTACGAAATGACGATGAAAGTGAAATTTTGTTATTTGTAATATTACTTATCACAGCTCACACTGCTATTGATGTTGTTACTGCACGCGAGGAGGATTTAATCATGTGATTTTTTTTCTTGTTTGAAATCCGTTGACCCATTGAACAGTGAATGAACGTTATGTTCGTATTCTATTGTTAAATAAGCAGAGAGAAAGATATATATATATATATATATATATATATATATATATATATATATGTTATCTTCTTAGGTGCCAAGATATAAACTCTATTAAATATGTAAAAATGCATATCGATCTTAGCATATATATTTATTCATTATTTATCGTCAAGGGCATCTTTCTCATTTGAACGGTGAAAAATATTGCAAAGTAAAATGTAAAAAAGAAATTATTAAAAAATGTCAGAATTAAACATATTTTTAAAGTTCTTCAAAGATAACTAAAGTTTTTTAAACATAACTATTGATGAATATATTTTAGAATCCAATAAAAGAATATGTATAAACAAATTTTAGATGAAATGATAATTTGTTTAAGTTAATGATGTTCCATTTCATATGACGTTATATTACAAATGTATGATAGGTAAAGAGTAAGAGACAATTAATCTTTCTAATTGTATTGATCATTCTTAGAATTTATATAGATTAATAATGTTCGAAAATATAAACAAAAGTCTTCCTTTTTCAAACCTTATTCCAATTAATTACATCTTCGTTTACGCTTCTTCTTCAAGAAACTATTAGAACTTTTGATTACCACCGAGTTCGTAATAAATATCTGTAATAAATATAAATTATTTATTAATTAATATATATAGATCAATTTATAGATAAGTATAATAAAATATCATTCTTTCTGAAATATTTACAAAAGAGATTAATCATAAAAAAAAAAGATAAATTCATTTATTATTTGATTTATTAATAAGTTACTTTTTGACTATCGATGTAGAAGAGAGAAGAAAGTACGGGAATCTATGTATTTGTGGCGGGAACTTATTTTATATATCTTAATACAAAATAATCGTCTATTATTGTAATAAAACGATTGATAACAATTTTTAATGATTTTTTTTTGAGATTAAATATTATATTCTATGCTATTCTTTGTTTTTTAATAATATGTTAATAGAAATTAATATATTAGATGGACCGGAAAGTAATGTCGTTTCTGCGCATGTCGATATTTGATCGTGATTAAAAATAAAAACTTGTTAAAAATGTATTCTTTTGAATTTAATTTAAGAAAGCGACATTACTTTCCAATCTACCTAATATTTATTAACACGTAATATTTCTATGGTAACGCAATTAATATGCGCCGCGAAAATTGTTTAACCATCTTCATAATTCGTAAATAACGTTATCATTGTTTCAGCTTATACTGAATCAGACGGTTATCCGTATCGTCCTCATTAATTATAAGTAATTAGCAGTTTTTTCTACCGTAAATCCTCTTTTAATATATCCATAGATAATTCAAACTTTCAGAAATTTTACGAAGAGTTTATGCATGTATATATATTATGTGTTAGAGATATGGTTGTATGAATGTATCAATGCATTGCGCCGAACTCAACATTCATTTGCATATATGCAAAAATATACAAGTTTCCTTTTTTCCGTTGTTTGCTTCGAATGCAGGTATTTTCTAAAAAATTATATAGATCAATATAATGTTTCAGTTCTTGGAATTTATATAGGTTATTATTATCCGAAAGTAAATGTAATTTTTCGTGATTACTTTAATATTCCCGTCACTTATATACATTTCAAAATATTAATTCGCCATATACTTACATACATATATGTTTCTTTTTCATTTTTTCTTCTTGATAGTCGAACATTCTTAATTATATACAATTATTATCGAATTATGATACATTATTTTGATCATAAATGACATATTTATTCGATGTGTATAGATAAAAATTCGACGAAATATTATTTTTTTTCAAATACAAAACACATACTCATATATATATATATATATACGTACACACTTTTCATCATATTCTGTTTAATATGATTTCATATTTTTCAGATTATCAAGAATTTGATGAGTTAGAATAACACATTACCACGCGTTATATATATGTACTTCCTCTTTGTATATGTACAGATAAATTTACTTCTTTTTATTAACATAAAGCGATAAATAATATTTACATACTCAGTAATACATAAATGTATTTTTACAATACAATTTTTACAAATACATAAATGTATTTTTAGGTAATTCTACGGTCAAAAGCAAAAAAAAAAAAAAATAATCGAACGATTGAACTCTTTCAAGGATTGAAAAGAAAAGAGATCTTCCATTCTTATAGAGTATTTCAACTAGTACAAATCTATGAAAGCGTTGATTAATATTGATTTAATTACGCATTTTATTAAAGAAAACATATTCATTTCAATTTTATCATAATTAATTTAATATTATAGGAGATTTATTATTATATAGAATAGTATAAAAGTTTGTATACTTTTTAGGTTATTCATCATCAAATTTATTCCTCTCTAGTCATTGTTTTATTTTAGGACATTTATTACATTTTTATTAATAATTGAGTTTCCGTACGAAACCACATCCAAATGATAAGAATCTGGGTCGATATTACTTGCAATATATCAATGTGATGCAAGTACTATTACTATCGAACGAATAACTTTATACTGTGATATATTTCAAAAATACTTAGCCTTTAATAATATAAATTTTCATAATTTATTAAATTCAATTTATAAGATATTCAATATGATTGATATTCTAGATAATATATTCTCGAATGTGTTACTTTCAAAGATGATTTATAGGAATAATTTATCCTTTCTTGTTGTATGATCTATTGTATATCTCATTTTTTTAATTTTTATAAATTATTAGAATAGTGAAGAGATCGAGGAAAGAATGAGAATGAAATATTTTTTTAAAATATGAATAATGATTTATCGAGGATTTACATTTAAACATATTTAAATTTCATAAAATTTCATGTAATGTATTATACTTTAAAATAATGGCAACTACAGCTACCTAACTAATCGCTAAATGTTATATTAAATGCTTATCTTTACATTATGTCCTTAAACTGTTCGGTAATTCATCTCCGATCATTCATCTCCAAGAAGGAAAAAGCTCCGAGCTGAGGGTAATTTTTTTATTTTTTTATTTTTTTTTTATTTTTTTTTCACATAATTTCTCGTCGATCAAAGTCGAAGTACGAAGAATAATTTATTTGCCGGCAGTTGAAGTGAAGTGAACGAAGCAACTAGTAATTAGGATACGAATATGTTGAGTAAGCTTAATACAAAGTTCATTGAAATTTGTCATTTTCTTTAAAAATAACACTTAAAATGTAAATTAATTCGTCAACAAAACTGTGGCATTTAAAATAAATATAAATAAAGTAATTTTAACTTGTATGCTAATCACTTTATTGAAAATATCATTATATCGAAAAAAGCCATAATCGAATCAATCGTGCAATCTGTTGTAGGCCAATGCCAACAGTGTTACCAACAGATTTATAACACATAACATTTTCTTTTCTTTTTTTCTTTTTTAACACTATATTATTAATTATTACTTTCTTTTGAAAATTTTATTATAGTTTAAAAATAAAGATAGAACTCATTGGTTATATATCATATATATCTTTATTAATTAATGATAAAAATTAACTAGTAAGAATCTCAAACTATTATAATCTTAATTTAACTTTCAAATAAAACGCAATATTTTAATCATGGAAAACATGGCGTCTGCTCGGCCTACGTTTACTAAACATGTTGATCGGTAACGATACAGTGGATTTTACTCAACAAATTTCAACAAAACAAATACTTATATTATTGAAATTATTAAAGACGTCTATTTCTAAATTTATTGAAATATTCTATATGTTTCGAGTGCTACTCTGTATTGACAAGTAGTTATGGCAAATCATTATGAAGTTCCAAACTGGTGTGTGTCAAATTTTAATAATGTTAATAATAATTTATCCAAAAGTGTATTATACTCAAAGTTAATATATCTAAAAGTATTATTAACTTATCCTTATTACATGGATATAATAGATTTCGAGTAGTTATTCATAACTAGGTTATGTTTTCAGGGCTGGTAAGCCTCCAGTTGGTTTACATTTGGATGTATTGAAAAATGATAAATTAATACAGGTAAAATAATATATTACATATCCTTAAAATACATATTAATAAATATTTTTAAAATGTAATTTTTATTATAGAAATTAATGGTGGATGAGAAAAGATGTTACTTGTTTGGTCGCAATCAACAATTAAATGATTTTTGTATCGATCATGCTTCCTGTTCTCGAGTTCATGCTGCACTTGTTTATCATAAACATCTTCACAGAGCATTTTTAGTGGATTTGGGCAGTAGTAAGTCATTAATTAGAAAATTATTTAAAAATATATTTATATATTTTATGACCATATATTATCATTAATTGTTACTATTTATCTATTAGCACATGGAACATTTATTGGTAATATGCGCTTAGAAGCGCATAAACCAACACAACTTCCTATTGATAGTACATTTCATTTTGGAGCATCTACACGATATTATATTATCAGGGAACGACCACAAACTGGTACAAGACCTATTATTGAAGAATTAGAAAAACTTTCAGAAGATGCTGATACCGGTGGTTTATTAGGTTTACCTGAAACAGAAACAGAACTTGATGTATGTGTCTTATATCTAACAAATATGATAAATAAATTATAATGTTGTAAAATACAGAATAATCAATAATACATTAATTTTTAGAATTTAACAGAATTCAATACGGCACATAATCGACGCATATCCATGCTTGGTATCACAGATGATGAAATGCATAAAAGTACTAGAAAACGAAAGAAAAAAGGTATAACTTTTAATGACGATGAGGAAGTTATTAATCCAGAAGATGTAGATCCGTCTGTTGGTAGATTTCGTAATCTTGTACAAACAACTGTAGTTCCAAGCAAGGTTTGTGTATATATTATTAATTATAATCTGATAAAGTTATGATTAACTTGTATGGTACAATATACTAATGGTTTTATATTTTACAATATAGAGAATGCGTATGGAAGGTGGATTGATATCATTGTCAGAAGATCATCATCCTTTAAAACATTTACAACCTACGTCAACCACACCACAACTTTATCATGATCTTCCACCAGAACAATTTACACCTTCTTCATTGTCAATAAATCCTTTTTCTACAGCTTTAACATCATTAACATCTAGACTTGGTATTGCATTACCAAATCCAGCGCCAGAAGTAGAAATGACTCCAAATCTTGTACAACCAGAGGTACCACAAGTACCAGAAATTTCAGGTCCCACAGAACCACGTGCAATGGAGCCTAAAAAGAAAAAATATGCCAAGGAAGCTTGGCCTGGGAAAAAACCTATACCATCGCTTTTGGTATAATTGTATTAAAAATTTTATACTTTTCTTAACCGTGGGCATAGCAAATATAGTCTACTGTTTCGTTGCTGTATTCGTGATAGGCTTAATATTTGAAGACTGTTATAAATTTATTACATAACTTTTAGTTGCCCCTCATTTCTTCATAATTTCTTCATAACAGTCACTTGTGTTTAAATCAAACTTATGTAATATTAATTCTCATTATTTACAATTTATGTGCTATATAAATATAAGTAACATACATATTGATAAATAGATTATAATTTTAATAATAATTTGATATTTGATAGAAAAATTTCAATAATTAGCTTTCCAGTCCTATAATACAAAAGAATAGACAAATAACAATTATATTCACTTATATAGGTATAATAAACCTATAATGTTAATTTGTTAACATTTTAATTATATACAATTATACAGATTATTAAAAAGAAAATAATTATAAAATGATGGAATTTCAAATGTGATAATATATTTAGTGTAAAATATTAACTTTAGATTATTTAACTTATTACCTATCTTATGTGGTATTAAATAATTATTAAGGTAAAAAAAATGAAAAGAAGTTTAAAGTATAATAACAAGGAATTAGTGTTGATAATCATATAAAAACAGTATTATATAGTGTTGTAAAAAATACTTATCTACTATTACAATAATACCACTAATTCTGTAATTATATTAGATTTTTAAAAAATATTTATAAATAATATATTTAAGTATAAAAATGTTTTTATTTCGATTGATAAAATCTTTTCCTAATTCTACAAATTTTAGCGATATGTGCATATATATATATATATATATATATATAGAAAGCGATATGTATATATATTATATATATATATATATATATATATATATATATATATATAAAGAATACTAATAATTATATTAACAGCTTAATTATCAGGGTTTAATATGTATTAACCTTTTTTGTAAAACAAATTGAAATTGCAAAAATTTCAATATTTAAATTTCGCGCCAACCAATCTTGTTTTAAATAATAATACTCTATATTGATTTCCTCTGTCGTCAATGAAGAATTGATCTCTCTAGTGTTAACGTCGATAGCACGTGCTGAAAGAAAAGTAAAGAAAAGTATACATTAGAGTACTTGGGTGATTAGTCTAATAATTTATTAGTATTATTTAGTATTATTTATGTTATTATCATCGTATACGTTTAATTTATCATATTAATTTATCCAAATATATCAGATTGAAATTTCTAACCTATATATTGGAGAAATTTATAATTTCTATTTTGTAAGAGATCTCAGACCACAATTAATATAGTGATCATCAGTGTATATTAAAAAAATAATTAAATCGTGATTTAAAAGTATAATATTGTTTATATCAACTTTAATAATGACAACTACGGAATCTAATCCTGGCTGGGCAGATGCTCTCCAAAAAATCTTAAAAACAAATAAGCCGAAAAGAAAAAGGACAATTGTGTTGTCTAAAGCTAAAAAGTATAATGACATAGTGAGAAAAAAAGACAGTTCATCTTTAGAAACTGATGCAGTTACAAAAGAGGAAGAAAAATTAGAAACTATCGAAGGTAAAGAGAACCTATCGTTGACAAAAAGAAAACAAAAACAGAAGGATAATTTGGGTATAAGGGTGAAACCATCTATTACTGATAGAGAACACGAGAAACTTCTACAAAAAATTGCAACAAAGTAATTTTTATTATTTATTATTAAGATAATATTATCTATTCAGTTTCTTAAACAAATTTTGAACTGTATGTTAGAGGTGTAGTACAATTATTTAACGCAGTAAGGCAACAACAAACACAGACAAATCAGAAATTATTGAATGCTGGACCTTTAGAAAGAAAACGTGAACAGGTATTAAAAAATATTGACAAACGCGCATTTTTGGATGTACTTATGGGAGAATCAAAAAGTATTCCTGTCGACAAGAGTATCGAGTGCCAAGAAGAAGAAAAGAGAGATAATGAAGAAAATGTAAGTTTACTTTTTCTGTCTGTTATGAAGTTTTATATTATAATATTAAATTTATTTTATTAATTTACTTATTTAGAATTATAAGTTAACTTATAAGTAAACTTATAAGTTAAAACTACAACATAATTCGATAATTTCTTGTATAATTCCATAATATAATATTTTATATAGAAAGAGGACAAAGTTTGGTCTGTCTTGCGAGATGATTTTGTTATGGGAGCAAAGTTAAAAGATTGGGATAAAAAGCAACTAAATGATGAAGATTCTTCAACCCCTGAAGATATAGATAGTGATGAATAGAAATATAAAAATAATTTTATAAATTATATAAAAATGTCTAAAATATTACAAATTTTTAGGAGACCAAATGATCATAAAATTATAGATCTCTTATTAAATTTTTTATTTTATTTAATAACGCCTGTTCAATAATCCTTTGTAAACTACATGCTAACAATGATAATGTGTATAGTATATATTTTCTCTGTATAAATTATAATTATAATACACATTTGACTTCATGTGAAATCAATTGATTTATGGTGCATGTTTATGGTCTTGTATTAATGACTTTTTATTAGTTTATGTATCATATTGTGGTCAAGTATCCTTAAAGTATCAATCTTATTCCTGTTCTTTTTAATTTGATAGTTATTTTTTTGTTTCTCCAAATAAAACAAAAAGAATTCATAACTATAGAGTAGTAAACTTATATAAATAATAACATAAATGGAAAATATATATATTTTCATATTATAGGGTATTTATGATTTATACAAAATTCTGAAGATATTAAGCCGAATATAGTGCATGCACAGATTTCTGTGGACGGACTGAACTAACATTGTCTTGACAACAACTCAATGCTTGTTATATTACACATAATTGAATACTCAAGGTTCTTGTGTAATATTCAAAAATTTATTGTTTTTATAGATGTTTATTTTTATAACAACTTTTTTCCTGATAACAATTTCAATTTATATTTATTTTACATTCTGTTCTAGTTCCATTAAATCTGATTTTAAGCATGATTAAATTAATTTTTTATAACAATTTATTAACATAATATATAGAAATTTTTTTCCAATATTTATGAAATAATAATTAAAATATTTTTTTGTGCAAAATGTATACATTGTAAAATGTAGATTTTTTGAAAATAGTTTAACAAAAACAATTGTTCTATAATAAAATGTATAAAGAAAAATATTAGGCACTGTACTAGTACACATAAGTTTACTGAGTCTTTAAATTAATTGATACTGATATCACCATACACTTCCATTATTATCTATTAAAAGATATTGTCAGGCGTACCTGGACTGTTTAGCGCCAGAATTTCAAGCAATTTTTTATTAAAGTAATCTTATTTTTGGAGAGAATATAATATTATTTAACAGATTCTAGGTAAAAATTATCAATTATTAGGTATGACATTTAATAGTGATATATAATAATATTCACCAAATTTTAAAGGAAGTGTACTATTATTGCTTAATGCAATGCAACATAATACATGTATATACATATATGTATATCACTTATATAATCGCACATCGAGTAGAAAGGGTTGTAACTTGAAATTTGATATTTCATATCAACAGAATGATTTCACTCGCAATAAATATATATACGATAATAAATATTGATTAAAAACGATCTATTTTTTAAGCATCTCGAATAATAACATATTTAATTTATACAAGTTATATAAAGCAAAACAATGTTTTTTGTTTTGTTTTGTTTGTTTGTTTGTTTTTTTTTTTTTTTTTTTATAAGAAATGCGTAAATATATCCTTTCCCTTGATAATCGTAAAAATCTTCCATATAAATTTGAAGAACTTTTATCAGCATTAATTATTTCATTAGTTACTACTCTATACTACTGCGTGTGCGTTATCGTTAGAGTTAAGTGTATCAGAAAAATGAAGGAATTTTGAAATTATATAAAATAAGTAAAAGTAGGGCGCGATGTTAGCGTAGAATTTCCTAAAAACTTATCGTTCAATTGGCAATATTTCATCAGACCCTACTCTCGCGAATATCAGCAAGAGCACCAAAATTACCAGCATCGTCATCAGAATATCCAGACTCGCTGTCAGCATTTTGCGTTCTACTTTCATTCTCGCTTCGCCTGCTTCTATGAAGATACCTTATATTTGGACTAGCTTCGTTGTTTTGGTTGATTTCGTTAGTTTGTGTATTTTGAAAATGAACATTTCTTGCATTCGATTGTTCTCCACGATATAATTGCGCTTGAGACATTTCGTTTACCCTATTTACGTTGCACATTTCATGCGGAACATCGAGGGAAGTCTCCATTTCGTGAGAATTAACGTGTCTGACAAAAGCAACATCAGCTTGATCGTCTCTAGAAACACGTTCTCTATTTGTATTACTATCGTTACTTATTCGCGAGATACTTCGTGCACGATTCCTTGTATTCATTATATCATTTTCCGTTGGTGTGTTTTCAGAAGGGTTTGTTGTTTCATCCACCCTATGGGTATATCTTTGTTCATTATTTCGATTAACATTTTGTGAATTCGACCGATGATTCTCGTTATCTATTAAATTTTCTCTTTGGTGATTTTCATTCTCATGAAACAATTGGAACGTAATATCATCATGCGAAGTTCTATAAGTACTCAAGTTCGTGTTGCTTGAAACACGATGACCCATTTCTTGACTTAATCTATATAGCCCTAAATCGTTGTCCATGTAATAATTATCCAAGGGATTACTGATGATCGATGGATTTCTCGAGACATTCCTTCGTGGGAAACTTTGACTAGAGAAACTCGTTACTGTTGCATAAGGGTAGGTCAATACGTTCATGGGATTACCAACTATATGAGGACAACCCTCTAAACTTTGCATTTCGATTTCTTCTTTGTCGTTACGACAAAAATCCAGCTCATGAGGAAGATTAGCAAACCTAAGAAGAAGTTAATATGTTATTTGATGTTTAATTTTTAAGAATAGATATCAATTAAATCTACTATACCTATGCAATAGAATGTCGGAATACGAGGGTGGCATATCAGTCTCTTCTTTGCCGTAAATGCTTTCATAAGTAGGCGGTGGAAAACATGCTATAGATCCTAAACTATCTTTGCTAGGAGTTTCAGCATCCATTTCCAATATACTACCCTGACTGTTTTGCAACTGATGTCGATTAATACTTCGTGGATTTCTTTGTGCACGAAGTACACTATCACCCAATTCAACCAAATCCAAACCTGTATCGATATAAAATGACATATACATTGAGGAAAACCATAATTATATATATATATATATATATAGGAAGATAATCAAAATTAGGTTTATATTATCGTACCAGTAGGATCGGCTTGAAATTGTGTGAACATAGTACCATCAACCACGAGCATTCTACCATGTGGTAAAAGAATGATCGTTGGTGTAGCAACCATAGTCTGATCGCTATTACCAAAACGTGAATCTGGTTCAGGATCCTCCAAACGACAACAGCAATGTCGTCTACAAAGTGATCTACAGAACGGGGCACCCCAACAACAGTAAGCAAAAATGAAACACAATACGGCAAGCATCACCAACAAAGCTGCGACACCTTGACTCTGTTGTGCCGCAGCAAGTGTTGGTCCACCGGCGACGCCGACGCCAACACCAACCCCAAAACTTCCGCTACTACTGCTCATCTCTCCTAGAAAGTTTAAAATATTCGTGATATTTTAAAAAAGGATTCATTATATAAAATAATTCAATAAAATTTTTAACACATCGGGCATCTTGAAAAATCAATAATATTTTTCAAAAAATTAAATGACTCTTTCTCGAATAGTCATTTTTGCTTTAGAAAAAAAAAAAACGACATTCAACATGGCAGAATAAGATTTCCCGCGCTATCTAGAGTATTATTATGAAGACAATGTAAAAAGGAATCGATATTCAAATCGGCTAAGCTGGAACCGTGCCCATCTTATCGGATATCATTTGTATACAGAAAGTATTTTTAACTTTAGATAATATTACAGGAATTAAATCGATTGCACATCTTGTATATTATTAACATATTTTTCATTCGTCATCAAAATATAGATATTAAATATTACGCTTAATAGGCATTATCATTTTTATGCGATTTATGTAATATTATAAATAATAATTAATAATTTACATAATATTTAATTAATTTTTTAAGTATAATTATTGATTCCATTATATTTACATATACGCATATTTTAATACAGTACTACAAGTAATACGTATAAGCAAAAGATTCTGCAATGCGGCATAAATATGCTCGCATAATCAAACATTTTTGGCGATTCTCCAATTTCGAATGATCGAACTTCAATGTTAAACGTGTTAATAATATTTTATCATCGAATGTATTTAACGATTCTCTTTCGAAATAGTGAAAGCAAAAATGATCATTAAAACAAAAAAGGTAAGAATATTACATATTATCGTATAGGAACAAACAAAAACTCAATGTAAAAACTCTCTCTTTTATGCTAATTAAGATGACGGTCTTTTATCTTCTTTATAAACAGAAAGCAAGTGAAAGCGTTATTATATATAAATGCCAAAAATACTATTACTTATTAAACAAAATATTATAATGTATGTAGAGACATTTTAAAAATACGTTTAAAATATACAATCGAAAAGTTGATCTGATGAAATTGAATAAATTAATAATCAAATATCTTATAAAATCGATCTCTTTTATTGCTTTATCATAACTATGAATAATAGATGAAATGTAAAACAAAAAAAAAAAAAAGAAAAAGAAAAAATATATAAAGATATCTATAAATAATATTTCATTTACACGATGCCCGCATTATGTTCCTTGTATACTATATCATATGCTATACACGAATTCTTACTACCGCGCCGACACTTGGCGCACTTGAATGGCATACAAACTACTGCAAAATAGAACGTATAAGATTTAGAACGAAAGAATTTCGGACCCGAAGAAACAGGTATGACAATATAATATACTGAAAGCGAACTTCTTTGAATTTATTTTAAAAAATTTACGACCTCTCTGCTATGTTGTTCGTTACGATTGGTCCATTCAAAATTATTATTATATATACGTATATTACGAAAGAATAATTTGTTTAATTGTTAAGATGATAATATTTTTATTACGTGTAAAAATATTGTCATCAAAATACAATGGAAATGTCGTACGATTAAACTGAAAAATAACAAAGAAAATGTAAAATCACTTGGATTAATTAATCTCTTGTTAAAGAAATGTAAGTTTTTTCTTTCGGTTTTTTTTTTTTTTTTTTTTTTTTTTTTTTTTTTTGTTATGGACAACAACACCGAAAAGCTACGATATTAGATGTTTTACTTTGAGAATTAACTTCACATTTGCGTGTCACATATCGATGGCACAGTTCATGCAACACAATTATCCCAACATCAATCGTAACTGCACAATGCATCATCGCTCTCACCTTGGATGGTGATATTGCGAAGCCAAGTAGCCCCCGTGGTTGCAGTTGACTCCTCCGTCACAGCTAATGTTCCGTAAATCATGAACAAGGCCGTTAAATATCTTGTCAATCTTCTACCACACGAATGTTTTCTCTCTCTCACTCTCTCTCTCTCTTTCTCTCTTGAAAATTTCGCTTGCACTACGTCGTAATTACTTTGATCGACCGTCCTCGATATCGTTGAGTTCACCCCCTACAACTAGTGTACAAAAGGAGACCACAACGATCCTTCATCGACGTTTTTCGGTACACTCAAATGCGCTTGCCTAAAGAAAAAAAAGAAAGATTTTAACTTTATGACGATGTTTTCTAAATTATCACTGACAATTCGATGTTGGAATGTTGATAAAAGTATGTATACAGGGGTACATGGCGTTCTTTCTTCTCAAACACATTCCAAACAGGAAAGTGTCTTCGTTGTTTCAATGAGGATGTTCTTCATCTTATTTGAATACCACCAACACCTCATTTCTTTTTTCTTCAATTTTTTTTTCCTTCTTCTTTTTCACCAAATTAAAATCTCTCGAGGATATTTCGATTACGAAGAAAAGTCTCTTGGATTGTAAGATCGAATTGTTACTTTTTGTTCGTTTTGATCTTTCCTCAACATCGTCCTCTTCTATTCATTATTTCATCTTCGTCATAGCTTTAAGTAATCGTCGATCTTTAGATCGACCTTTCTCACCACTTTCTCACTACTTTATAGAAAGAAATTCCTCGTAAGAGTACGGAACGTCGAGTCGAGCCTTGCGCACTGCCATTGACACGAGATCCATTTTGACCCTCGACCCATTTTACTTCCACCCCCCCACTTTTCATCAACCTGCTGCTTCGAGACCTAGCGATATGGCTTCGAGTGTATAAAATTACAATCTGGATTATCTTCCTTCGTGCTTTCGTTTTTTTTTACATTGATGGTGAGTTCTTAATTGATTAGAATATATATGTGTATGTATATATATATATATACATAATCATTATCACTTTCTTCACTTTATATGTTTAATAAACGTTTTGAAGTTAACAAAAATAAACAAAAAAATCTTTATAAACACAAAGATAAATTTTGAAGAAATAGAAAAAATATTGATAACTTTTAATATCGTATATATATATATATATATATATATATATATATATATATATATATATTCATAAATCCATCTTGCAATATTGTAATACGTCGATATCCTTATTCCCCAGAGTGTGTATTTATCAGTTTCACATTTGTAGGTTTCAGGGCCTTCATTCATACAATTCCTATTTCTCATCCTGACTGCTCTTGAATAACCTTATCCATCTTGATACTTTCATTAAAATGCGTGAACATTCAAGGATATTACAAGAAGTGTACTTCTAGAGTGCTGATCAATTACTGACACTATCACATCACTTTTTTTTTTTTATTCTTTTCATCAACAAATATCTGAAATAAGAATACCTATCACTAGTCTTCTGTAGCAACCACGACTTAGAAAATGCATGATAAACGTATGTCAATACGCACGCTCGTTTCAATGGAAGGTACACGTGACGGTTTTCTGTATTATTGGAGAATCGATCGTACCGAACATTATACGTAGCAAGCGTAAAATATAATATTTCTATGAATCAGATGTAAAATAAAAATTGATAATTTTGTTTATAAAAATATAAATGTCTAATGTTATTATCAAAATTTAACAGAACATATCATTGTTCCTTGGATGGATAATTCAATATAGATACATGGATACTTTGATTTTCTAATAACGTATTAAATTAATTTATTTGAATATTTACCTATTATACAAATAGATATTGAAAGATATAATATATATATATATATACACAAACGATATGTAAAGTATATATTTTCTTTAAATAATTTTATATAATATAATTATTGTTCTGGTAAAATATTATGAACCCATTGTTTAAAGTGTTGAATTTCTGTTACAATTAATTCATGATCTATATTCTTTAATGGTACAAATGTTGCATTTACACCAAGCTTTTTAAGATTGTTATAAGTTTCTTTCCCCCATTCGATTGGAACTATTTTATCCATATCACCATGAAATTGCAAAAGTGGTGGTGTCTTTTCCATTTTATTATTTTCTAAATACTGTAATGAAAAATTTTCTTTAATATGAATAAATAATATAAATGTATTTAAATATTAAAATTAATAAGCCTATATATATATATGTATTATATAATAGATATATAATTAATCTATTATTATATAATAGATATATAATATAATTACATACCTTGTATACTAATGAATTTTTATTAAGAAATGATGACATTGCAACACAACCGGCTAATGACAATTTATATCTATATGCTAAATATAATGATAATGCCCCACCCATTGAAAAACCAGCTACAATTATTCTATTGCTTGGGACTCCATTAGATTTTTCCGAATCTATCAACTGCACCAATATTTGACATATTGAATTAATAGAATATTCTTCTTCGGAAACATTATTTGATATATTTTTACGATTAAACCATACATTGCTTATCTATAAAAATAGAATTTTTATTAGATTTATTACAATACATATTTAGAAATAATGATTTTGTCTTTTTATTGATGATAGCAGTATTACCATTTCATTATTTGGTGTATAAGGTTGAGCAGGTGCAGTAGGATAGACAATTTTTATATGAGGGAACTTTAATTCTTCTCTGTTAAGCATATCAATTGAGTTCTTGAAATTGTTTCCAGAATCTCCTGATATAAAAAAAAAAAATAGAATTTTTAAATGTCTATTTAAAAAAATTTCATTATATAACCTTTTCTTTATTATATATTTATTACATATTCGTTATATATTTTTTTATCTTTTATCATTTTAGTTAATAGATATAAATTTTTTTTACCAGAACCATGGAAGAAAAATAAAGTGGCAGTATGTTTTTTTGTAGCTGGTACAATATTAAATTTTGATATCTTCATGATTTTGTCCATTTCTTTATTACTTTCGTTATTTCCAATACATTTAAGTCTTTATAACTTTAAGATTCTATTTTTATAAATGATAATACATGTCAAGGTTATGTTAAATCTTAACAAAATATTGATTAAGTCAATGAATATTGCTTATCAAATGTTTAATCATTTAAGCGGCATATTATTATTATTTAGAACCAATAACGAGAGTTCCCGCTTTGAAATCTTTAATTTGAATACAAATACGTAAAATTAAGGCGAATTCTAATGATAAAAAAATATATGTGTGTGTACTACATAAATCAAATATTACAAAAGAACACTTGCATTTGTGTTAATTTACGGTCTTTTTATTAAAAAAAAGTATTGTTGCAAGTGTATATATATACAATAAATATGCAATCAATAAAGTATATCTTTAAAAAAAAAAAAAAATAGAAATTGCTGCTTTTAATAGAATGGATTTATATTACCGACGTTGTAATAAGTCCAGCACTGCCGATAATTCAGTTTTGTGAATACGAAATTTTATAAAGACAAATATTATAAATTAGTCATTATTATATATAGTTTTCTTGTCTATAAATAGATTATCAATTTATTTATATGATAAATTTGGAAGTAAGTACATTCAATGATGTGATCATGATATTTTTGTATTAAATTTATTGATATAATCAGTAAAATTTTATTCTAATTAGAGAAATTTTCGATATCATTGAATATATATACAATATTTCTATTATTTTTTTAGCATCACTGGCAATAACTTCTGCGGAATATAAGCTGTGCTTTTTTCAAGATACTTTTAATTCAAGTAGAAAGGAAGATGAATTGAAGTGAGTAGAACAGGATTTAAAGTTTAAATAAAAATTATAAAAATTTTTATATATTGATACAATGATATATATATATATATACATATGTACATGATATGTATATGTATATGTTATGTATATGTTATGTATATATTAAGACATGCGTTTAAAAAGAGAAATTATCAGATATTATCTATTCCTTTTGTTTCTTATGTTACTTATATTTATGTTATATATATAATTTTTTTTATTATTATGATTATGTCTATTTTAACATAGGTATGCCTACTATGATATTTGGCATTGGTACAGGATTATTCTTAATTCTAACTTTGTGGGCTATTGCAATATTAATTTTTTTAATATCATTACGAATAGAGAAGAAAATCGGTTTGGTTGTTATAGTTATCATAGGTCTTCTCACAATAATTTTGTTTAGTATTCCTAGAGCTTCTGAAAAACCTAATGTCAATGAAAGAAAGGTATGTAAGATAAATAAGTGTTCCTTTGATTAATTTATTTGAATTGTTTCTCTGTAATAATATATTAGAATGATTTTATATCTTTTTCTTATCTTATCTTGTATTATCTTGCTATAACTATATTTTTAGCCTTATGACCATCTTTTTATTTGGCGTATAATATTATTTACTTTACTACTGATTTCATCCATAATTGGAATTTCGGCATATATTAAATTTCAATTATTAGAGTCTGTCAGACCTGTGCGCGTATCTAATTGGATTTTCTGATTATTAAAGGTACTAATCATACTATGTATTCCCTAAATAATCGTGTTAATTGTATTTTTATTTTTATACTGTAAGTTTTACTTAAAAAATAAAAATATATTTTATATTTATTTCTAGATTGCAAGTTTGATACAATCTGTCCAGTGAATTGTCCAACTACAAAAACAATAACTATAGTATAGTAATTATAAACAGATCAGGTTTTCTATGTTCAATAAAATAATTAACAAAAATTTATAATGATACGAAGTATTAACAAATCATTTCCAATGTGGGTACGTCGTATCTCACTATATCATCAAAAAAAAAAAATTTATGAGATAAACAGTAACATAGAATTTAATAATAAGGTAATGAATGGTAAAAGAACAGTTGTTGTCAATTTTCATGCAGATTGGTGTGATCCATGTACAGTATTAACACCTAAATTAATAGAACTTATTGAACCTATAGAGACATTAGATCTTGCTATTATTAATTTAGAATCCAATCCAGATTTAGCTGATATATTTAGTGTAAAAGCGGTACCTGCTGTATTTGCAATGTCAAATGGATTAGTTTTAGAAAAATTTATTGGTTTACAAGATATTGGAATGGTAGAAAAGTTTGTAGAAAAATTAACTATTCAAGATGCAACAAATTCGAATATTGAAAGTAATTCAGTAAATTTGAAAGTAGACAATTCTGTAAATCCTAAAGATAATAATATAAAATCATAAAATCATATTTATAATATTGTATATGTGTAAATGTAGTTATATATATGAAAATATATAAATGTATATATATTAGGTCATTATATATGAAATGTCTGATTTTATAATATAAATATAATATGAAAAATCAGACGTTTCATGTTTAATAAACTAATATATATTTCTTTCATTATTATATTTATGCAATAATCGTGACAATTTAAATCTATTTGATGCTATTATTTGTAATTATACAAATATCAAATCATAATAGAACATGTAAAGTTAGTAAAAATATTAAGATATTTCGCAAAAGCGTGGATAATCATTATATGTCTTTGTATTCTTCTACTGAAAGTAGCTTTCTATGCAATATAATAATATTAAATTGTTCTTATACTGAACATCTATTAAGGATACTAGGCATTCATTTCAGGAAACTGTGGACCATGTGATTATCCTTCTTTTATATAAATATATATATAACAAACTGTACTACTATTGTATAATTATCTTGTCTAAACTATAGTGATTATACCGACAATGTTCTCTTGAAAACAAAAAACTATTTAAAGTCAATTTAAAATATACTTTATGAAACGTAAATAATATAATAACTATGTATACTTCAATACAATATACTTCAATCACAAAATAAACTATCATAGAACTGAGGTAGAATATATACTTTTTTGTTTATTAAGAATATATATGATGTTCTATTTATATTTTGTCTATATCATATCAACTTCGTTCTATAATTTATTATGTTTTATAATATGTGATCATACTGATGTAACAAAACTATAAAGTGATTAATTTGTTTATTTACATAAAATATCAGTTGTTTTTATTACAATTCAAGATATTTATTCAAACATAGAGTGCACTTGTGACATTATTTATCTATTTTATTTTATTTTTATGCTTTTGTATTCAAACATAGATGTGAAGATGGAAGTAAAAATATAATAACATATTAAAGATTATTGAAATTAAAATATAAATGTCATATTTAAATGCAGGTATGCAAATAGAGTAATATCTAATTTGATTAAAATTTTATATTTATTCTTAATCATAAAACAATTCTGTACAAGCTATGTAGGAAACTAAGCCAGCAATATAATAAAGTTATCAATCCATATCATCTCTAATAATAGAGCTTGAATCTTTTTGTTTCGGCAGCAAGCAATATGTAAGTGTTATTAATTAAAAGACTAGCTAAGTTTTTTATCAGTCAGGTGTGTTTAAAACACCATGATAAGGCATTATTGTGACTCTTCATTGATTACTTGCAAAAAGTTATTAACATAATTGAACAATTATTTAATAAGAAAAATTTATAGCAAAATTTTTGCAAGTAATCTTATAATTCTTATATAGATAACCGGTATATATATATGTATGTGTATATATATATATATATATATATATATATATATATATATATATATATTTATATATATATATTATATATATTTTGTAATTATTTAACATTTGCACATAACACCTGATCTGTACTAATATAAACAAAGTAGTAAGTATTGTAAATGGAATATCTTAATTTTAAATGAAAAACTTTGAATATTATAACATGCACTTAATATGTTATGATAACAAAATATTTTACAATATATTACAACAATGAATGAAATTTTCTTAATACTATTATTATTTCTATTGCGCGTTTCTAAATAATTTCAAAAATTATATTACTCATAAAAATAAAATTATATTATTTAAATTACAGATAAGATGTTATTGATTTTAGTTTACCGATATGTACTGTAGAGGCAAATGTATGGCCCCATGAAATTACACATTCATTAGATACATTTGGACGCTTTAATTTTGCAAATGTTTTCTTATTTACAATTTACAATTCATCCCTACCAAGTAGTTAAAAAAAATATAACAAAATGTAGAAAAACACAAATGATTTTATATACAATTTTCTATTGATGCCTCTTGTTGTTATTGGATACATTCATTCTATTTAATAATGACAATAGAAATATGCAGTTCAAATAGAATGTAGTACCTACTACATAATATTTGAATTGTTAAAATTATGTACATTTTTTAATGTCATAAATTAACAAAGAATGAATATATTCAATATTTATCCTATAAAAGCAATTTTACAACTTATTTAACAACAAGTAGCATCATATTTATATGCTATTTTGTAAGTCAACTAATAGTAATATAATACACAGTATGATACAACATGATACAATTTACTTTGCACTCCATAACTCAATAATTATTTTTACGTTTTCTTGAAAATTAAGAAAAATAGTGTTTCTGTGGTTGACTTTGTTAAAAAGTATTAAAATATATCTGTCTATAAGCGAGTTTCATATCCTCAGGATTAAATATTTTCTATTATTTGTTGATATTTATGATAGTTTTAGATTCTATTCCAGGGATGTTATTCGAATGAAAAAAATTATTATTTAAAATAAATTATTGCATTATTATACTTGACTATATAAAAAAATAATCATTTAAAAGAAATTTGTTTTTCTATTAATGATAAATTAATTTAAAAATATTCTTGTGACTCAGAATAGTCTGTTTTTACCAAACTGGAATGCATTTACCACAATCGACACTTTAATATATTATTGTAATATATAGATTAAAAAATTGATCTATAAGAATTATCAGAATATGATTTTATAGTATATGGAAAAATATTTGACTAAACTTCTGCACCCAGATCTCGTACTCCTTGTTCTGCTATTGGAACATATTTGTCATCGATTTTAACAAGCAATATAACTTTATCAACATGTGATCGACGATTAGGATCGCGATGATTTGGAGACCAACGATGGACAACACATCCTTCCATTCCTCTTTCTGGTACCCAATGTTGCCAACCCGATCGACCACCTTGTTGTCTCATTTTTTCGTCTGGCCAAATTACATCTATTCGACGACCAAGATTAATTGCATCATATACTTGATTCGGGTCCATAATCTATCAAAAATAAACAAAACAAATAAAATATTTAGTACAAAAAATAAAATTAATTAATTATGATATAATTCCAAAATTAATTAAAATAATTAATTTTGAAAGTATACATCAAACAAATTGGAAAAAATAAATCAAACTAAATTTTAACATAATTGTTTCTTATACTTACACGAACTCTCTGAAACACTTCCTCTTTGTCAAGTTTATTAGAAAAACTTGTTTCACTTTTACTTTCAGTTTTGATGTCACTATTACTAAGAAGTCCAGCCAAACTGGCAAGTGTTGAACTAGTGGGTTTTCCAACAGAAGCAAGTGAACCTCTGTTACCACCAAGAGAACTTGTATTTGCTCGACCTAAAGAACCACGTCCCGTTGAACCACCAATTTGACATCCAGATTCCATTGATTGTGATCCCGATGTATTATGACCTGATTGTCCATATCCTGTTATATGGATAGATAAGAGATTGCACAAGCATTCATAAAATATTATATATAAATATAATATCATGTTTCTGCGTACCAGAGTGGATATTGTATGTGGTCATAGAGTATACTCCATCATTTCCAAAACCCCCATCATCTTGCGATCCCGTTCCACCCGATGAACACCCTTGACCACATCTTCTTCTTACTCTGAAATATAAATATTGATTATATTTATATTCATAATATACAATTCTATATATATATATATGTGTGTGTGTGTAATACAGTGGCTATACCTCCGCCACAATTTTAACACAGTTGATTTAATGGTACCAAAACTTAAAGGACCTCCAACTATGGAACATAACTGTTCATTAGTTTCTGCATAACTGGTAGTTAATGGTGAAACATAAATTGGATATCCAATTGGTTGATCACAAGAACTATTAATTATATTTCTTAATGCCTGCTTCGCATTCTGTATAGAACCGCGTTCAGGATTTCGATTTCTTAAATATACTAATTCTTGTTGTTGGCCAGCCCAAAGACCACGAACACATTCACGATTCATTTTAATTACTCGAAAGCTTAAGTAACGTTTATTAAGCATTATTACTTTATATTCATCAATGCCATCGTCAAGTACATGCCTAAGAAACAATATGTAATCAATTTCTTAAATTTAAATAGTTTATATATATATATATATATATATATATATATATATACATATAAATATTTTATGTACCTAAGTGCCAAAAGACTGGGTGCTCCACTTAAAACAGCATTTCTCCATAAAGGATCAGCTTCGTGACTAATCACAAGATTTTTATCATGATTGTCAATGGCTTCATAAAGAGCACAGCATTCTATGTATTGTTCTGAACTCATAAAATGATCTTGATGCAATTTTAAAGCCATTCTTACACCTTTAGCAACAACACTTCTTAGTAATTCAACATCATGAAGTACCCATTCGTCTCGTGGTGATGTTATTCGAAAATCTCCTATATAATATTAAAATAGATGAAAAAAGTAATGATATATGAATATTTTTTAAAGTAAAATAAAATGAAATTATAATATGAGATAAAGATAATATATATATATATATATTAAACCTTTAAACAGTGCATGTAGACCATATAAAAAGAATTCGACACTTGACACAGTGTTGTGAGAAGCTGCTCCTAAAACGCGTCTTCCCAAAAGACTTAAGCCCAGACAAAGTGATACCAGATTTGAATCACGTGTTTTTTCTAATGACTGAAAAAATACAATATCAAAATATACATAAAAGTAATAATGTATCATATAAAGTGAATGGTTAAAAAAGTACCTTATCATGCTTAGTTGCACAATATTGTATCCAATCAAGGTAAACATTGCAAAAGCTACTTCTTGTAATACCACTTGCTCGAAAGTCGAAGTCTTCGTCAATATTCATATTAAAAACAGGATCAAGATCCGCGAAATTTTTATCCAATGTTGTTTTAAGTGCATCAATAATATCTTGATTCTCCAACCAAGTTTTTAATTTTGGAGACTTAAGAGCATAGAAAACAATACTTTTGACATAATAAGTAATTAATACTTTACGAAATTCATAGACTTGCAGCATTGACACAGCTGAATTATCCGAAATCGAGTAACTTTCAAGTACATACTTGGCACTTGCAACTTCCCAAGCAAGCCATCTCTGACTAAAAGCTGCATTGACACTAAGTACATTTGAAAAATGTCCCATTTCACAACAACAACAATTATCATTATCTTCGATACCTTCGGATATTGCTTCAACCTAAAAAAGAGAAGAAAGAAAAACAAAAAATTAGATATCAAATTTATAAAAAAAAAAAAAAAATAGTTAATGCATAGTCACATAAATAATACCTCTCTTTGTTGACAGTATGTTCCTCTGAACTCAAGACCCCTTAATTGAAAAGTAACTAAACCGTTTCCTAACTGCACTATATGTACTAAACAATTTAGATAATCAGATGCTAAAAGAAAACAATCTCCTTGCTCTACATTACCCCAACGACCAAGAGCAAGATCACCATAAAGACTATGCTGAAGAGACCGTGTCAATTGTTCATAAAATATAGAATTTAAATTATTATCATCTGCACCTAAATTACGATCTAAATGTGAAGACATTCGTGTATTTGAATGATCAACTCTTCTTGTTTTATAGTCACGTTCCCAAAATTTAACTGGACGTACATACGATGATATAAAAATTGCACTTCCTAAAAGTGGATTTAATGGCGTACTTAACATAGCAGATATACCTGCTTGAAGGAAAAGCATTGCAGAATGTGGAACGGAGAATGGTTGGGCAAAGGCATGAAAAGCACTACCCCAAGTAATTTGCCATGGCGCGATATATGTTACAATAAATCTTATTTTTAATAACAATTCATAAATTTTTGCAAATGCTATACCTGTTACAAAATAATCTACTAAAAATGTTTCACTTAAATCACGAAAATCTATTTTAAAAAAAAGAACAGCGAAAACAAGAACTAAATAACGAGTTGATGGATCAGAATATGCCGAACGTAAAGATTTTAATCCGCATATAACGATAATCAATGCTCCAATACTTTCTCCAAATTTGGATACTATCTTTGATGAACATTCAGTAAGTGCACCTAAAAATACAATAGGATAAAGAATGTTTCTCTCAAGAAAACATAAACAAACATAAGCTTTCTCAAACCACATAATTTTTACTGGCTCGCGTACTTCAAATTGTGCATGTTCATGACTACGTAACACAGGTCTTGCAAGACACAACCATGGTAATTGTTTTCTAAGCTGTGGTACTACATAATGTAAAAGAAATCCTAAGCAACTGACGATACCCCATAATACAGGATTTAATTCTGGTTGTAAAGCAGTGAATACTGTAGAGCAATGAATTCCAAAGG